CAATCATGTGTAAACATCTATCTTTTAATAGCAAGTTTAATCAACTGACATTAATGGTAACTAATGAACTTATATCAACAGTTACTATTTAATATGTCCTAAGTTTTGTCTTTACACTTTTCTAAGACTGGATGAACTTTTTTTGTGGATTATGTTTTTTCTTATTATTCCACCTCCCTACTCATTTACAAATTTTATGTTTCATTCTATTGCCTAAATTTTACCAATAATATATAACTCCTAGGTGCAACATCTTAAGCTCCCTACTAAAGCAAAATCCTTAAAACCTTTAAGTGTCCAAAAAGCAAAGCCCAATGAAAAAGGCCTGAGCATAATGTTAGTCAAATTGTCCAACTGCAACTGACATCAGATTTTTAAAATAAATAAATAAAAGAATGAAAAACTAGAATTCCAAAAACAAGAAAAAATAAAATGAAAACACTTGAGATTAACAGAAGGAAAATCAGACCCACTGCCTGTTTTATTACAACATGTAAGCTAAGAATGATTTTTACATCTTTAATAGGTTGGGGAAAAAATATAAATAAAAATACTATTTCAGCCGGGCTCGGTGGTTCAGCCTGTAATCCCGCGCCTTTGGGAAGCTGAGGTGAGTGGATTGCCTAAGCCCACGGGTTTGAGACCTGCCTGGGCAGTGAGACCTCATCTCTACAATAAATCAAAAAATCAGCCGGGTGTCGTAGCACATGCCTGTAATTCCAGCTACTTGGAATGCTGAGGCGGAAGGATCGACAGAGCCTAGCAGGTTAAGGCTGTGGTGGCCGGGAGCGGCCACTGCACTCCAGTCTGGGCAACAAAGTGAGACTCCAACTCAAAAAAAAAAAAAGTACTATTTCATAACACATATAAATCAAATGACAGTCACATTTCAGTATGCATAAAGTTTTTACAAAATGGAGCCACAACATTTGTTTACACACTGTTTGTGGTGGCTTTCACACTATAATGTCACATATGAGTAGCTGCAACAGAGATCCTGTGGCAAAGTCAAAATATTTACTATATGACTCAAGATAAAGTTTGCCTGCCCCTGGCTTTTAACATATTAAATGAGTGGATTAGATCAAGACACTTAGTTTCAGTATGCCTTTTAAAATCTCACTGACTTGTCACAAAATTTTTAAGTCTACTGTAATAAAGTAATAAAAACCATAATTAGTAAATATGAGGGGCAACTCCCAAAAGCAGGATTTATTAAAAATTGTGTATTTATTCTCACATGTTTAAACTTCAGTCACCTTCAAAGTACTTTCCATCTAATGTAATTCACCTACTGAGATGCTTTTCCCACTGCTCAAAACAGTTTTTGAACTTGTCAATTTAGATGCCTTTTAGTGCTTCTGACATTTTTTGTTTCATCTCTTCCACATAAGCAAACATTTCCCTTTGAGGATTTATTTTTTTTTAATTTTTTTTTTGAGTTGGAGTCTCACTCTGTCGCCCAAACTGGAGGGCCGTGGCCGCTCCCGGCCCCCGCAGCCTCGACCTGCTGGGCTCCGGCGATCCTGCCGCCTCAGCCTTCCGAGTAGCCGGAACCACAGGCGCGCACTCCCACGCCCGGCTGATTTTTTATTTTTATTGCAGAGATGAGGTCTCGTCAAGTTGCCCAGGCGGGTCTTGAACCCGCAGGCTCAGGCGATGCACTCACCTCAGCCTCCCAAGGCGCAGGATTACGGGCTGAGCCACCGAGCCCGGTGAGGACTTTTTCCATCTGGGGAAAAGCAGCCACTCGAGGTGGGACCGGTGGACAGGGAGGGTGAGGCACAGAGTCATGCCAGTTTTGGTCGAAAACTGCTGAGCACTCAGCACGGTGTGGGCGGGTGCGTTGTCAGGGTGGAAGAATCAGTTGCCTGCCTGCCACAACACGGAACATTTCTTCTGCAAATCATGACCCCTCCTTCTCAAAACTTCCAGATCAAAACTCTGGTTGACCATTTGACCTGAAGGAGCAAATTCTGAGTATACTACAAGAGGCCGACCCTTCAACAGATAATTCTGGCGTGGGGAGGGGGTTCGCCCCTCATATTGAGGAACCCACAGGGAAAAAAAAGAAGACTCAATCAGGACCAAGAATAGAAAACTACAGTTCCAATCACAGAAGAGAAAGTGGCACTGCAGAGACAAAAAGTCCCAGAAAAACTCCACTTTCAGAATCTATTACACAGAAAGAGACTCTGGAGGAAACAAGGTAATTTTAACAGTGAAACCAGGCTGAGTGGTACCTCCCCCCCAACCCCCCACCACACACATATATACAGTTTTACTTCCAAGTTTAAGCTTTCTGAGCAGCATCTGCCAAGTGCATGCTCTACCTCAGAGATGGTGGAACATGAGGCTGTAGCTGGAGAGAGGCAGGGAGGCCAAGACCACACCAGCAGAGAATCGGACACAGAACGGAGACTCAGCCAGTAACCACAGACATCAAAAGCACATGTGTTTATTAAAGCTTTAGCTCTTACAAAAATTAGGGAATGACATTACCAAAAACACACAAGACCCCCAAAAGGGGGGAAACAGCCAGATTCTACTAATCCTTCCCATAACCATGACTGTTCGGTGTAGAGCACAGAGGAAGCTGGAAAGCCCTTCCCTTCATTCTATGAAAGTAGTGCAACTATGACACCAAGCCAGAGAAGGGGAACAAGGACGCCCCTTTATGATTATACCCAAAGAATTTAAAACCGAATCTAGTAATATACGTTAAAAGTCACCACCCCAGCCACGATGACCGATAGATCTAGTAACTCAAGGCCAGTGCAGTGTTAGTAAATCTACTAATATACTTCATTACAATGAAAGCTAAATGAGATAAAGGTTAATATACTGCAATCATAATCCTATAAAAATATATAATTATATATATATATATATTTTAAAGTAGCATTTATTGAGAAGACAGAAAAGCTCCCACAGTGAGGGGGACCCAAGGGGGTTGCCCCCTGACATATATTTAAAAGCATTTGACAAACTTTAATATTTATTCTTCATTAAAAAACAAACTTCTAACAAGTTGAAACAGAACAAAATTGCCTGAGTTTGATAACTACTGGCAAAACATTAAAGATATCAGAGTCAAAGAAAGAAAAGATGAACACACTTACATTAACAAATGCATATTGCACTGAGGGCCTCAGTCAATGTGAAAAAATATGAAAAATAAATAAGATTAAAATGTTAAGGAAAAAGATAAAAATCATATTATTCGTAGATAATTACTGATGATGAATCTTTCATCCGACAACACAAGAAAATTAAAAAATAATAATTACACAAGTAATTAGTAAGCTGGCATAATATAAAATAAGCACATAAAATGTAAGAACTTTCCTACAGACCTAAAATAAAGACTGCAACAGAAATGAGGAAAAATTGCAGTCAAGAGAATAAATGCTATGAAAGAGTTAGGAATAAATTTGAGGGGAAAAAGAAAAAAGACCAAGACCATTATGTAAAAAAACCATAAAACTTCCTTGAAGCATATTAAAATATGAATGACCCAAATAAATGAGAGATATGTATCATTAAAATGTCAATACTTTTAACAATATAATAAAATTCCAATCACAGTCCCAATAGGGTATTTTTCCCCCTCTGCTTTAAACAATAATAATTCTAAATTCATTTGGAAGAGCTGATGTGTGAGAACCAAAGAAAGAAAATCTTCAAGGGACAAAAATACCAAAGGAAATCTAGACATTAAAAGTTTTCAATTTAAAGCTACTGAAATTAAATTAGAGTGGCACATCGGAAGACAATACCTGTAACATATTTAACAACAAAGAATTAACATTAAAATGGTTCATAAATAAATAATTATTAGATAATCCTACAAAAGGAGGATATGAAATGTAAAAAGGCAATTGACAGAAGGGGGAGACAGTTCTAATTTAAAAAAAAAAAACCTCACATAAGCATTTGGGGGAAACACAAATTAAAATGCTGAATTATCTTTTTTTAATCTAGGCAAACTTTAAAAATAGCAATATTAAATGCTGGCAGAAGTATGAGAAAACAGATACTGTCATAGAATTGATGGAAATATAAATAATTATAATCTTGGAATATAACTTGGAGGATTTCTCGAAACATGAAGAGAACGCATGAGAACTGAGACAGCTACTCCATGTGCAGGGATCTCTCAGCACATACAAAGACAGTCACTGCTTTACTGTAAGGAGCAAGAACAGGGAACAGGATTCTTTAATGAAAATGTATTTGAATACAACTGTGGATTAGTACACAGCAGCAAATTACAAAGTAATAATAATAAATTGATATGCACAGTAACTCTTAAAAAAAGATACAGTTCTATGTAAAAAGCAAAAAAGTTCCAAATATATATATATATTTGGAACTTTTTATATTTTATATTTGGAACTATATATATATATATATATATATATATGCAGCTATTTAAGAGATAGCTGGGCGCAGTGGCTCAAGTCTGTAATCCCAGCACTTTAGGAGGCAGAGGTGAGAGGACTGCTCCTTGGGAGGCAGAAGCAAGAGGTAAGACCTCGAATGTACAACAGATCAAAAAATTTATACAGGCGTGGTAGCATGCGCCTGTAGTTCCGGATGCTTGGAAGGCTGAGGTTGAAATATTGCCTGAGCCCAGCAGGTCGATGCTGGGGTGGCCGTGACCATGCTACTACACTACAGTCTGGGCAACAGAGTGAGACTCTGACTCAAAAAAAAAATAGAGATATTTTAAGTCAAAAGTTTAGGCCTAATTATTGTTTTCTAATTAACACCTTCATATGCCATTCCATCATATATAAGGGCATCTATAATTATGAAATGTTTTACATAATTTTCAAAGTAAACATATTAAGTGCAGTTTTAAAGCAACCAGTCATGATTACCTAAATATTTAAGTATTAAAACATAGCTTATATATCCAGACAGTGTGTGACTTTTTAAATCTGACGCTTCCAATCATGTTCAGCATGCTGAAAGGAGAATTTGATAGTGCTTACCAATATCATTAATCACTGCTCTTATTTTGGAGACAAAAGGACCAACTTCACTGGAATTCATTTTGGCTCTTTCCTTAAGGTCAGCACCTGCAAAGCATTTTATTTACAAATATAATCTAGTTATGCACAAAATTTCAAGGCAAAGAATTGAAAATTTACTTAAGATGCATATAAAACTTGAAGATAACTTAATTCATCTGTTAACGGATTCTACTCTCTAAGTGTTCCTTCCCAGGGACCACCACTGGCCAGAATAAAGTATTTGTTCACACATCTACCACATGCTTAAACCAGTGCAGCTCAGGTTTCTTGGTCTCAGGACCCCTTTACATGCATGAAGAAACTGTGTTTGGATGATACTCAAGGATAGTTACTCTGTTAGACACGGAAACTAGGACATCTGTAATGCTTATTTGTTCATTTAAATACACAAATAGACTCATTAGTGTCGATACAAACACTGACAAATTGGTGCCACCTTGGCTCCTGCACAACCCTGGCAGATCCACCTCTGCAGTGCGTTCGGGCAAAGACCAAGCCGTGGACAGGCACATCACCCTACTGTGCTGTAAAGAACTGTGACTTCATGGAGAACTGCCTTGGTGACTGTGGACATTAGAGAACAGCTAGACTTAAAGTATAAACAAATTGGCAATTGCATGATTATGACTTTATCACAGAAGCTAAATTTTGTAACAGAGAAAAATAAACATTGGAATTCCTTAAGGGATCATTAACTCTGAGCTCAATAAAGGCATTTGTTTTAATAAAATTAAAGAACTGAGAAAAGGCTGGTCCCCATTTAAATAAACAGACACATAAACAACAAAATAAACTGCAGTGAAGCAGGCACACATTCGTCAGTTCATCAAAAATTAATCATGGTTATCCACAATATCAAGTGTGGCCTGGAAGGGCACTGTCACCTCCTCATGCACTTCCAGGGAGAACCACAGCTGACAAAGCACATACCTTACAACCCATCACTGTCAGGTGTATATACCCAAGAAAAACCTGTCACACACCCAAAACACAGGTACAGTATCATTCAATGCAGCATCACAGAACTGCAAAAGGCCGGACAAGACTTCAGAACCCATCAACAGGAGAACGAATCAAACTAGGACATATTTATACAATAGAACACTAGCATGAAAATGGAATAATTAAGGTATAAATGCAGATAAAGCTACAACAAATACTGAAGAAAAAAATAACTACAGAAAAAAAACCTGATAATAACCACTTATAAAAGTTTTTAAAACAAAAATCCTATTTAGGGGCAGAAGACATGCAAGGGAGTTATAAATGGTGGATTCAACTGGTGGTTATGGGGGGGCAGCGCCTGACAATGGGTACACAGAGGACTTCAACTTTATTTATAATACTGCATTGCTTAGGTTTGGTGGTGGCTGCCCAATACATTAGTCTTTAAACGTTTTTGAATGCCTGACATATGTCCTCATAATCAATTTTTCCATAAAGAATTAAAATTTAAAGAAAAAACATTAGCAGGGCCAAGAAAAGTATTTGTTAAAAGAGATAACAAATGGCTCAACTCATTATATTATTATTATCAACGTACTGATTATGTTGAGAATGTAATTCTAAATCGAGACTATAAATGTTGGCTATAACACATTGGTTGATACGAGCACTGAGGGTCATGTGACGTGCAATGCAATGAAGAGAAGAGAGTCAAGGGACCTGGGCTCCACATGACATGCCCTTAAAGGGGTCCAGCAGCCTCCAGCCAGCGGAGGGGGGGCACACCATCAGGCAGTCATCCAACACATTGCCAGCTTGAGTGGACTCGGAGCAGGCTGGCAGCCACGTTCTGGGGCTGAAGAGACGGGGCTGCAGGAAGCCACACGAGGACCAGTGGAAACTGGGCTGCTCCTGACACCCGAGTCATCCACGCCAGCGAGCCCCAGAAAAGAAGGTTGAAGGTGGGCACCAGCTCCAGGCACCGCCATATTCATACGACACGAGTGTGAGGCTTCTTCAGCATTCAAGGTTTATTTTAGAAAGAACTGCCTTTCTCCAGGAAATGGCAGACACTTGCAGCCTTGAGACTGCTTTTAAAAATGTTAACATCCATTTTGTTTTTACATTGAAAACACATTCTGAAATTTCAAACACTCAGAACCTAAAAATATGTCTCCACTTCTGTTCTTTCCAAGATCATTTGGCAGTACTTGAAGTCGTCTTTGAGACCCTGTACTTCTGAGTTCCGTTACTTTTTAAACTCAAAGGCTTCACATTCACGGCCACTCATTTCAAGGAGGCTGCCCTGCATTCTAACCACACTTCCCTAGTCCATCTGCTCTCCGATTCACCTGCAGACCACCTGACAACTTCCCTCTCTCCACCAATCTCAAACCCCCTTCCAATCCTGATATCAACCACCTAAAAGCACAGAAAAGAGTCTGCTCGTACCCACCACGGAAGCTATCCCCTACCTGGATTCGAACTCACCCACTCTGCCCTGCCTCCTGCTACCGTGCAAGGACTAACTTGGGAGTGAGCCAGCCCGCCCCCTGGGCACAGGGCCCAGCACCCACCTGTCTCCTGAGTGACACACCTCAAGCACTCGCACTCTCCCTGGCTGGCATCAACATGACCCCTCTTCAGAGTCTCGTTCCCATCCGCGCCCAAGAAGGCATTACATGCAGCAAGGCAGCCCCAAATCACAGAGAGCAAAAGCTGATAGACGCAGAAGGAGCTGCCTCCTTTAAAAAGCTCACATGGACCTCCACCGTCAGCTGTGATGGATATGTTACCACCATACAGCTCCACGGAAACACTGAAGAGACACATAAGATAGCTGTCCGAGTAACTAAGCAGCCAGGATGTAAGAGGCTAGAAAGCCAGAGAGAAGGAAAACTATAGCAAGCCCTTCATTTCCCAAAATATGCACTGAGTCAAGAGGGAGGGAACGAGTGGCAGAGAAGAGAACCTACAAGTCCTGCCGAGAACAGCGATTCTGAATCTCTGCAGTCTCCTGGAAACGGGAAGACAAACTCTGGCAGGGAGGAGTACCAGCTCGGCTAGAGCTTAGACGTCAAGACCCTGCAGAAAAAGGCACAACAGAGAAGAGATCCCAAGGAGGAATATGAGTTTCTGTGGCAAATGTAAGTTTCTAAACAACCTCATATAAACAGAAAAAAAAATCACTGGATCTCAGGGCTTGCCAAGGAGGACTTATAAACATTCCAGGCTTTCCACTGAGAGCTCTGAAGGTTAAGATAAAAGAGGGTAAATAAAAAGAACACCATACCAAGATCAACTGCTGAAAATCAAAGATAAGAAGAAAATCTTAGAAGCTGCCCATAAAAAAACATGTGTACCTTTTAAAAAGGGGGGGGGGGGGGATCCATAAGACTGACAGCTGATTTCTCAATAGAAAAATGGATGACATCTTTAAAATAAGGAAAGAAAATAACTACCAATCTAGAATTCTCAACAAAGCAAACCCATCCTTCAAAAATGATGGTGAAATAAAGACACTTTTATGCACGCGTGCACATACACACACAATTTGTCACCAGCAGGGCCACACTGAAAGAAACACTAGAGAAAGTTATCCAGGCAGAAGATTATGAGGGTAGATTTTTCAAATCTTATTTTACAAGGGGGAACCCCCAAAAATCCAGAACTTATTTATAAAAAATTGTGTATTTATTCTTACATGTTTCAACTTGTCAACTTCAAAGTACTCCCCAGGTGATGCAATACACCTATCAAGATGCTTTTTTCACTGCTCAAAACACTGTTTTAACTCATCAATTTCAATGCCTTTCAGTGCTTCTGCTGGGTTTTTTTTTTCACCTCTTCAAAATGGCAAATTGCTTCTTTTTGAGGACTTCTTTTCATCCAGGCAAACAAACAAGCAAACCAAAAACGGGCACTTGGAGAGAGAACAGGTGAACAGGAAGGGTGGGGCATGGGAATTAGGCTGTTTGGGGTCAAAAACTGGCATGAGCAGGTACGCTAGTAAATTACGCATCCTGAAATGGCCAAATGCGTTTTTAAAGAATCTCAGAAAAAGGAAAAAATTTGATGAAGCCCAACGCAGCCTCTCACAACACTAGCTGGTCCACAGATGCTGATGGGTTTCTGGAATACTCACCTAGCGGGAGAATCCTGTACCATAAGAGCCTCGCCCTCCAAAAGATAAATCCAGGCTTTTGGGGGTTCCCTCTCGTATACCACTTATGAGAGTTGTTCCTTAAAATATTTTGGGCACAGAATGGCTAAAGTAAAAGGGTAAGAAAACATGCAAACAACAACTAAAAGGAAATGTGTAAAGTTACCCACATATATGACAAAAAAGATCTAAGGCAAGAGTTACTCTAGTCAAAGGGTCACTGCATAGTAGCAGATAAGATGACCTACTACAAAGTCAGAATTTTAAACTGGCATTACACACCATGCGACTCCCCAAAATATATGAAGAACTAACACCAGAAAACAAAAAGTGACAAATCTACAACAACAGTGGACTTTAAAAGACCTCTCTCAGCCGGGCTCGGTGGCTCAGCCTGTAATCCCGCGCCTTTGGGAGGCTGAGGTGAGTGGATTGCCTGAGCCCGCGGGTTTGAGACCCGCCTGGACAGGCGAGACCTCATCTCTACAATAAAATAAAAAATCAGCCGGGCGTGGTAGCTACTCGGTTACTCGGAAGGCTGAGGCAGAAGGATCGCCGGAGCCCAGCAGGTCGAGGCTGCGGTGGACGGGAGCGGCCACTGCACTCCAGCCTGGGCGACAGAGTGAGACTCCAACTCAAAATAAAAATAAAAGACCTCTCTCAGCAACCGATAAAGCAAGCAGGCAAATATCCTTATGAAGTATCCCTATCAGGACATAAGAAATTTTTTTAAAATCCCAAAGAAAAGGAAAATAAATGATACAAACTGGAACAAAAGTTAATGAAAGAGAAAGCAAATGTGCAAGAGTAAAGAATCAACTAAGCTGGTTCTCTGAAAAACCTAAAGTATGTGACAGACCATCAGCAAGACTAAGATGCAAAATAAGGAAGGTTCACCCCCAACACCAAGAAGGAGACAAGGACAATGCTGCAGACC